TAAATTAATGACTTTTTTTAAGTTGTTGATTTAAAAATACAAAGGACCATATTTTGTCATATATATTGCACACTTTTTTTGCCCAAATTTTTGAGGGAAAAGTAAGGATGCATATTATACATGGGTAGTACTAGTTCTGTATCTGTATAAAAGTTTTTAATTCTTTTATTTATGCTTGTGTATTAAAAGCATAACTCTGGAAAGCAATAACAGTATCCTATGCAAAATAATACCCTAGAATACAATAATCATTTTTGTTTCTAAATATATGTTAGTTAATTAATTAATTAAAACAAAAGATTTTTTTCCTGAACATCTAGACCAAAAACATGGGTGCATATTGTACACAGAAGCACATTACACACAGCAAAATATGGTAAATAATAGTGTAAATGGACTTCAAATATGGCACAGACAAAAGAAAACCAAGTAGTGTGGATATGAACGAGGTTTAGGAATACTGGTTTAGACCAGGGGTCAAAAATCTTTCTGTAAACATCCAGATAATTAATATTTGAGGCTCTGTTGCAAGCACTCAGTTCTGCCATTTTGGTGCAAAAGCCACTAACCATGACCATAGATGAGTGGATGACTCCTCTCAGCATCCTGACCATCACAATCCTGTGTCTAAGGTGAATCCTTTACACTTAGTGCCCCAGGCATGGCCTGACCATAGCCCGATAGAACACTATCACTTACCCTGGTTAGCAAGATTTCAAATAGTTATAAAGTAATAATGCCTACTTTGTACATGTGCTGTTGAGAAGACATGATGTTCTCCGCACCTCACACATGTACAATTAGTGGGACATGTGTTTAATGAAAGTTCACAATGTTACAAGTATCATAACTCAGTTTTTGGATATAGTGGGTTCATATTTGGTCCTTTCTTTACTTTTACTACCAGCGTCCTCATGGACTGATTTATTACCTTTTCGGAACCTCTATTTCCTGCTTATTAAAATGAGGATGACACCTCTCCTGCTATTATAAAGATGAAATGAGATACTGGATGTGAAAGTTCCTAGAACAGTGGGTGATGCACTCAGTAAATGTTCACTTTGCCCACACCCTCCTTTCCTTCTCTACCTCCATCCTCCACCTATTTGATAAAGATGCCCTTTCCATTATTATGCCATCGATAAATGTGGCAAACACATCAGGGGTACCCACAGCCTTGCAGTACACCAGGATGCCTTTCTGAAAATGAAAAACATATCTCTTAATTAATACCCTGTAAATACGGTTTGTCAGCCACTTACACATGCACCTATGTACCAGGGATCCCAGCCCATATTTCTTTCATTCAGCAAAAACAACAAACAATTACTGGCTGTCCACTTAGTGTCAGACGTGGCACTAGGCACCTGCCACAAATGTGAATTAGACATGGTCCCTGTCCCTCGAGGCACCTACAGCTTGGCCGGGGAAGGGGAGATAGTAAGCCAACAGATGTTCACAATTATATATTACTATTGAGGAATCTCCCAAGAACTTAGGCACCATGTGGCTTGAGACAATTATTGAAAGGTAAGCAGAAATTAAGGCCAGGGTGGGATGGGAGCATGTTCCAGGCCAAGTGTGTGCAATGCACTGTTGCGTGTGACCAGGAGGTGAATTATATGGGGATGAGGGCTGGGTTCTGTCCCCATATAATTTATGGGTCAAATTGTGCAAGGCATTGCATGTCATGCTGGGTTTAAATGACCTCTTCTAGGTTTTCACTTTTCTTCAGCAGTGAGACCTTTTACGTGGACCACATCTTCTAAGTGACAACTCTGTATTATAAAGCCAGCATTCCTGAGACTGATACTCAGCTGGGCGTTCCCCTTCCTGCCCACAGCCACCAGGGGTGGAGGCCAAATGCAATAAGGTGCCACACTTAGGCTGATTTAGTTCTTTGCCTTGAATAGTACAGCTCATGATGCAGTAACTGACTTTTCCACTTAAGTCACTCTTGGAGCACTGGCGTTGTAGATGGAACAGGCAGAGTGCTAACGGGTGAGGCTAGATCTGAGTTTTAGAAAGTGGCTCTGACAACAGTGTGGAAAGGAGAGTGAAGTGGGGAATGACTGGGGGCCGTTTCTACAGATAACAAGTGAGGGTCTCACATAAGGGCATGGCCAGTGGGACACCTGCCCTACTAAAAGGTGCAGCTCACCCAGTGCTACAGCTGAGGAAGCTGAGGCTCAGAGACATTAAATAATAAAATAATAATAATAATTTGACCAATAGCAAATAACAAAATTTGGACTTGAATTTGTATGCTACCTCCTCAGATTGAGGTCGCTTAATAAACTTCCCGGCCTCCTTCTTCACTCTTGTCTTTTCTTGCCCTCGTGTGCTGCTCCAGACTTACCAGATACATGGATCATCTCCATGTTTTTCTTCCTTCTTCTCAGGGTTTTGGCAGACAAGGGATATTTATTAACAGAGCATTTTAAAACCCTTTTGGTAGTTTCACCTAGCCTCCTGGAAAACACCTTTTCCATCCTTATGGGATGTTAGACATTCTGTCACATGCTGCAGTCACACTTCAGGAAAATGACCTTATTGGCCAGGCAACGTCTCCAGCTCTTTCTACAGAGCCCCCAACAGGCAGTCGCCGATGTCCGTGACTGGTGCCTATTTTACAAGACAAGTAGGTAGCATGATACCTAGTACTTGCCTAAGCAGTGGGGGGTGGGAGGACTGCCTTATAATCCCATTCTCTTCAAAGTCTCACACTCCCATGTGCCTTTGAGGGAAGAGAAACCACAGTCTCCTGTTTATCACAGGCTGCCTGTAAGGCCAAGTTTATCTCCCTTTGCATAATATTTCTCCTTCCTCTTGCCTCTCAAGGCAATTTGGAGCCATCTACCTTAAGGAACTAATACCTTCTGGTTTTCCATTTTTTTCCCCACCAAACATGAATGTCCATCATCTGCTTTTCATCCCTTGCCATCTAATAGTCCCAGCTCAGTGCCTTTGTAGGAACCCTTGTTAGCTAATCTATGGATTACAGAGAGGAAGAAGGCAGGGGTGGGGCAAACATGAGCCATGGAATGGGATTTTTGCCTCTTCTGTCTCTACTTCCCTTAATACCCAGTGTGGAATCACCAGCAGCATTGGAACAGAGTGCATGTTGTTGCCTGAAGGAAGGGGTGTCTTGTGAGGTGGGGCACTGATCCCCCCAGTCATTCCCCTTGCAGTCGGCTATTACATTGCTCACCCAGAGACCCTCTCTCTTGTACTCCACTGTCCTCCTCTCATTCCCATCTGTGTTAAACTAGGTAAGAAATGGATCCCTTTAGCTGCTAGTGTCTAAGAAGATGCTGCATTTTTGTAAATATGTGATTTAATCTTAGTTGTTAAAGGGGATTTTTTTAAGCTGATTTAATTCATTGCCTTGAACATCAGAGCTCAAATGTGTTAACTAGATTTTCCATTTGTGTCACGGAGGAGTTATGTGAAAAATGCAAAGAGCAAAATAGCCCTTTGGAAACAATGGAAGGGAGAAAGTTAATTGAATTGAAATTAGACATAGCAATAATTCAACGCATAATTAAAAGTTTCTAAGGAGACTAGCATGCATTCATATGTCATGGTTAAGACTTTTCTTTTGTATAAAATATTTTAAGGTAAATTTAATGATATATAGTAAATATAACTTCACCCTCCATTATTTTATGACTGTCTAATGCTTTTGGGAGGAAACTGCGTTGAGTTTTCTATGTTGGGAAATTCCCTAAATCAGAGGTGTCAAACTCATTCTCACTGCAGGGCCACACCAGCCTCGCTGTTGCCTTCAAAGGGCCGAATGTAATTTCAACTCCTTAACAATTAAGGAGTAGTTACATTTATACAGTCCTAAAATTATTTCAGCCCTTTGAAGGCAATCACAAGGCTGATGTGGCCCCGGGTGAAAATGAGTTTGACACCGTTGCCCTAAATGAAAGATACAAATTCTTCTCCCAGTTAACCTGAAAATGAATTAGAAACTTTAATTATGTGTTTCTGGCCCATGATTCTTGCTGAGCTTCATTCAGATCCTGTCATAAAAAGGATTCTAAATTTCCCTGGGAGCCCAGGTAGACTCTATTAAGAAAATAACTACTTTATTTTCTTTAGTTTTGATGTTATGCATTTCCTAACTTCCTATAATGAACATATATGGCTTCTATTTATGAAGCAAATCATTTTTAATTAAAAAATACATTTTATCAGAGTTGGCTCAATTTAAAAGGGAAAAGACCAAGAATATCATCATCATTGCTTCCTGGAAAGTTGACCTACAAAAAAAAACCCCAGACTATCATTACCTTGTGGCTGCTGAGCGTCTGACACCCTCCCGGGGAGAGAACCCTCTCTAAGTCATCCTTGACTGCGCCCACCCTGATGTTCCTGAATGGGTCACCAGCCCTCTGGTCCCACGACTTCTCTCCCTGATCACCATGCCCATACTGAAAACATTCTGTCCCTCACTCAGCCCCTCCCGATCACACTGCATGGCTCTGAAAGCTAGCACCTCATGCGCTTTATCTTTCTGGATCTCTAGCTTCTCCATCAAAGTAATCCTTTTACTCCTCCTGTGAGACCAGTGGGTGGCAAAGGAGCTTTCCTCTGACACTTGGAGGTATGGATCTTAACCGGAAGAACCTATGGAATGAAGTTTTTCAATTTTGTGTTTTTACTTTTTAATTTTAAATACACAGGACAAAAAAATTATGATTCTAACTCTTTGAAGTATACAGTTCAGTGTATCGAGCTCATTCCCACTGCTGTGCTAGCACCACCACTGTCCCTCTACAGCGGTTAGAATTCCTCCTCCCTAGGCTATGCCACTACCAGAAAATTCTGCTGTCCTTCAGATGTTTAGCTGTAAGATGAGAAGTGAGACTCAATTGCCCTGGAGACCCTTTGTCTCTTAGGACTGGACAACTGAGTTTTGAGAAGGTTCCGATGCATTTATGTGACTCTAGCCAGAATGAATGTCCCCCTTCCTCCTTCTCTTTAAACAGCTCTGAGCAGCGGGTTCCCTGTTCCACTTCGTACCACAGCTCTGGTTTGCACTCGGGCGACAGTATCACAAAAGCAGGAACTCTGGGCCTTCCAGAAATAAGACAAGTGCCAACTGTTGTGATTGAATGTGATGACAATAAAGAAAATGTGCCTCATGAATCAGACTACGAAGACTCTTCTTGCCTCTACACAAGAGAAGAGGAGGAAGAGGAGGATGAAGAGGATGATGACAGCTCATTGTATACCAGTGCGTGCACCCGACTCTTCAGCTGGGGTGGGGGGCGCTTACCGAAAGAGCACTGCTGAGCTGCCCTGCACTCTGGTTCTAATTCGGGGCCTAGTGTCATCTGGCCCTGGGTCACAGGGCAGCTCAATTAACCTCTCAGGGCTTCAGTTTTTTCATCAGTAAAATGGAAGTGTAAGTGTCCTCTAAATAGCTTCATAAATCTACAAATTATATCATGCTGCCACCTGCTACTTCTTAGATGGCTCTTCCTTTCTTTGATTGTTTCCCTTGGGCAGCAGCCTCTCCCTCAAAAAACAGGTGGGGACCCTAACCTTCAATTCCAGTCTACATAATACTCAGATATACCCACCACTGTGTGTGCAACAAATTCATTTTAAGCAGACTTCAATAACTAGGCCTGAATTATAAGGCCTGAATTTAAAGTTCTTATTTAAGGCCTTCAAATGTGCCAAGAGAGAAGAGATGAAGGAAGCAATGTTCAAAATCTGTCATTCTGGCTATAAATGATAAACGTATCATAGTTAAGTGATTAGAGACTGATATTTGCTTAACTTCTTCAATAAATGAATTTATATTATAGCAGCTTTTCACTGAATACATACTGCATCTGGTCATACACTAGGATTTTTATTCTGTGACCTACACCTTACGACACCCAGTGGCATCGACACTGTTGCCCCACTTTACAAAGAAGGGAAGGAAAAGAGAGGTTAGTGATCTGCCCAGAGCCTCACATCTGCCAAGTGGCAATGCTAGGGTTTGATGCCAGCTACGTCTCATGGCAAAGCCCATGTTCTGATACCAGGGGAGAAAGAAAAAACACTAGTACTACATAAATTCAGAGGGATCTCCCAAACTTGCTGCTTCCCAGTCTCATTCTCCTGCTTGGTGAGAGCCCTGCTGAGCAATGAAATGTCAAGGAAAGGACCACAGAGGGGCAGCCCAAACAATCCATGAGTGGGAGGAGCTGCTGCTCAGCCACTGAGCACTGTTTTCCTGCCCGGAGACTGAAGGTTTTAGACCAGTGTTGCTCACCCTCAGTACAGGTGACAGTTCAGACCAGACAGGTCCTTGTGGTGGGGCAGTCCTGTGCACTGCAGGGTGTTTAATAGCACCCCTGGCCTCTGCCCACTAGATACCAGGGGCATCCTCCCCCTGCACCCCAGTTTTTACAACCAAAAATGTCTCTAAACTTTGCCAAGTGTCTCTTCAGGGAACAAGATCACCCCTGGTTGAGAACCATGGATTTATTCCAGGCAGAAGGAAGGGAAGCCCTGCCCTGGCTGGCTGCTCAGAACCTCTTACACTGAAAAGAAAAAAGTCCCCGAATATGGCCTGTTTTAATGGACTCACTCCCACCCCGAAAGGACCCCACTTTGTCTGCCCAGCCTTACTTTCTTTCACAGCCCCCCTTGCTCCACAGTCACTGGTCTCTTTTGTCTCCTGTGATTACTGGGCTTATCTGCCACAAGCAGATGCCCGCCCACCTGCTGCCTGTGCGCATCCTATTTGTCCTGCCGGCACCAGCCCCTCCTGCTCTGTTTAGCTACCCACAGTTACTGAAGGCACTTTGTCCTTTCTCCCTGCTTTGCATTCTCTTCACTCCAGTCTGTCCTGCCCTCCTTTATGATGTTGCCTGCACACTGGAAGTTCCTGGAGAGCAAAGACCTAGTCATAGGCTCCCCATACGCTCCTCACATGCTCAACACATTGTGTGGTGTGTGGAAGATGTTGACCAGGAACTCTATAGAAGCGCCCTTTGGTGCCTTAACCACTCTCAGGTGTTAACTCCATTGTCTTCCTGCCTTTCACCTTGTGGCCCATAGACATGTGTGCCAGCACTATTAACTTGTTTCTCCCTCCTGCAGGCTCCCTGGCCATGAAGGTGTGCAGGAAGGACTCCTTAGCCATCAAACTCAGCAACAGGCCCTCCAAGCGAGAGCTGGAAGAAAAGAACATCCTTCCCAGGCAGACAGATGAAGAAAGACTGGAGCTGAGGCAGCAGATTGGCAGCAAGCTCACCAGGTAGGACAGCAGAACCACCAGCTCTGCAGATATTTGGTAGAAGACTTCAGTCTCTGTCTCCAGCTCAGTTCTGGGTGTCTGTTAAAGAGCTTACTGCAGAAAAAGTCAATGGAAAACATTCCATTTCTTCTCCAGGTTAGCTTCTCTAGTGCTCTCTCCTTCACCCGTTCAAACCTGGGACATTTCATTTGATTTGAGGTTCAGGGAGAAGCTGAGAAGCAGGTTTGCAGGACAAAAACCACCTGTAAAAGATCACCACTATCCAGTAGAATTAAGGGCCTCTGTAGATAGGAGTTGTGGTTTGGTTAAGCACCAAGCAATCAAATAAACACCTTTTCTTCTATACTGTACAACCAGAAGACGTCAGCAGCTGTTAATAATACCTCATCACTAAACTGTGACTCTTCTGAGTGATTGCCCTTTTTGTACGGACATCACAGACATAGGCATCGGGTATGCTATATTACTATACTGCATACCTGTGTGTGTTTGTAATATAGAGTATGTTTGTACAATAGTACCTTACATTAGTGGAGCACTTGTTATTTGCCCGGCATTTTTCTAAACATTTCACATGCATTAAATCACTCAATGTTTGAGGCTTCCTAAGGAATGGCCGTTTCATGCCCTCTTTACAGATGACAACACCAGGCATACAGAACTGTAGTTACCCAGAGGGCCCCCCCTTGGCTATTATATTGCTCTAACTCTCTGTAATAACAGTTATCACATGAGCCCCCACCTTGTCCCAGGCGCTGTGCTAAGTGTTTGAGTGCAATGTGTAGACATCTCCCAGGTTTCATCCTACTCTCCCTCTCCCTAGCTGTATAGCCGTGAGTAACTCTCTTATTCTCTTTGCCCATGTTTCTGTACTTGTAAAGTGTGCAGTTGTAGGAATTAAATAATGTAAGTAAAGCTGTTAAAACAGTCCCTAGCCCATAGCAAACATTCAGCTACCTGTTATTATTTCATTTTCTTCTCCCAAGAGCCTCCTCACCCCAGTAGCTTCCCTTATCATCTACACAAGTACCAGGAGGACACTGCTACCTACAGAGGTTGTGGAGGCTCAGGTGCCATGCAGTGGGGCACTGGGATCCCGCCCTCCCACCTGATCTATTTTGTTTCTTAAGGACAGCTTGTTTCCCATAATTGACTTGGTTTCCTCCTGGAATATGTTGTTTTAATCTTACTGCGTAAAATAATTAACACTGGTGAATGATTTCTCCTTGCATTGTGCCATCTTGAGAATCGCAGAATGAAAATATCTAACTACCTACTCCCCCTGTCCCCCCTTCCCCCCCCCATCTGTCAGCAAGTGTGGTACACATTCACACTTTGGTCATCCAGATCTCTCTTAATGAATGCCTCAGTGACAGCTACTCACAGCACTCTGGAGAGCCTGTCCCATTGAGGGAGAGCCTGATTCTTCCCTCTATTGAACTGAACTCTGTGTCCATGCAGCTCCCACCTATGCATCTTGTTCTCTCTTTTCCTGTACCTATTCAAAGCCTCATGCCTGTAACATGCATGCTTTGGGGTGCTTGTAGACTATGATCCTGGGCTCCCCAGGTCGTCTCTTCTAGGCTGCAGATAGCCAAATCTTCTCTCTGGGGGTGGGTTGAACAGGTGGATATAGTTCTGGGATGATTCCTGAAGCTGTTCCATTTTATACATAATATAAATAAGGCTGTTTTAGGGGGTCGGGGGAGTCTAGGAAAGAGATAAGGAGCAGTTTCTTGATCCCAGCCCCTCTTCTCAGACAAAGTTCAGTTTCACCATCTAAGTATGGGCATCCTTTATTGCATTTCTCTGCCTTCACTTCTCATTTCCCCAGCTTTGCTATAGTGCAAGCCTAGCCCCAGGTGTGTGTGTAAATGGAAGGCTTTTCTGCAGATGTGAGATGCCAGCACATCTGGCTGCCCAAGTTGCCATCTTCTGTGGAGAGAGAGAAGGATGGGCGATATAGAAAGTAGATACGTGGGTCTGGTGCAGACGTATGTGGCTAGCCATTCAGCTTGTGCACTGTAGAGCCATTCCACCCAGAGGTAACTGACAAAAAGGCCATTGTTGTCCCAGAACATACTCCCAAAAAGAGAGGCAGCTGCCAGCTTCTCCTGCGTAAATCCGTATTCACACACCTCAACCATGACAGTCTGGTAGTGGTGGCGACAAAACTCAGAGGTAGGAAGAAACATAGAGCATCCATGCACTACAAAAAGTGCTCTGTCTCTGAAGCCTTATCCTTACAAATCATCCCTTTCCCAACCAACCCTTTCTCTTCTAACAGCACTTTAATGCTGCTTAGAATTCATAAAACCCACTAATGTTTTCTCATTATACTCATACATTCCCAACCCAGTCACCCTGGTCATTAGAAGAAGACACACTGACTAGGGAGCAAAAGGCAGAATGACAGAGGAGAATGTCAGGCATGTTCAAGGTGTCAAGCTGCCTACATCCTTGCGCTGAGTCCACTTCGTCTCTGTGCACTCTCTCTTCTAGGAAGTTTATTTCCTTGTATCAAGACCCTTGGCATCTCTAGCCAGATTATAAGAACTGGGCAAGAATAAGAACAAGGTTGTACAGAGTTCAGAAAGTCGGGTGGATAGGCCACTTCTGCACCTTAAGGTCTCCTTTGAGAAAGCGCAGCCACTGATTCACACCCAAGGGGCTTACACATGTATCCTGAAGCCAGAGCAGAAGAAGGGGAAATCTGAGAACCAGAGGTGTCAGTGGTGGAGAGAGAACTTACCTATACCAGGACCCTGGGCTCTAGCTCTGGTTCTTCTGCTTCCTAAGTAGTCATTTGCCCTCCCTGGGCCATCATGGCCTAAACCGAGGAGATTAGATTAAATCATCTGATAACTCTGTGCAAAAACTAAGCTTCAGCCCTGGCTGGTGTGGCTCAGTGGATTGAGCGCTGGCCTGTGAACCAAAGGGTCACCGGTTCAATTCCCAGTCAGGGCACATGCCTGGGTTGTGAGCCAGGTCCCCAGTAAGGGATATGCAAGAAGCAACCACATTGATGTTTCTTTCCCTCTCTCTTGCCCTATCCCTTTCTCTCAAAATAAAGTTAAAAAGTCTTTTAAAAAACTGAGCTTCATTATGGTACAAAGTAACTAAAAGGATGTAGGAATCTATTGTAAAATTTACATTTCTGAAGCTACAAGGCTGGGGCGTTCTTTGGCCATTTGAAGTAGCGAACACATGCTGGAAATCTTAAATTCTTTGAAAAATACGTGGTCAAGTCTGTAGTCCTCATGGAGTAAGAAAGATACAAAACATAATTTTAACCTGACAATTTTAATAATGTTAAAAAATTTCATCACTCCAAGAATAATCCCACATTGGAAGTGGAGAACATAAATATTAAGTAAAAGGATGTCGAGCACTAAGGAAGAGTTCCTATGTAAGAACACAAGAATATTGTTCTTCCAAAAAGTTTTCTCACTGATGCTGCTGAGCAGACCCCCCCTAAATCTCAGTCACCAAGTCATCTGGATGTTTCGATCATAGCTCTTTCAGCCAACCACCATTTGAGAAGTATGGGCCGCCTTTGAGACATGTGCATGATCAGCTGGGTGCGTGTGACTCTGCTCCTCTGTATACAGTAGTTCCTCCCCAATCCATGGTTTTGCTTCCTGCAGTTTCTGTTATCTGCAGTCAACCACAGTCTGAAAATACTAAATGGCATATTCCAGATATAAACAATTTAAAGTTTTAAATTGCACACCACTCCAATAGTGCATTAAAATCTCATTCTGCCTGCTCTCTCCTGCCCAGGACATGAATCACCCCTTCAGCTAGTACATTCTATGCTGGATGCACTTCCCACCCATTAGGCAGTTAGCAGCCGTCTTGGTCATCAGATCTACTATCTAGGTATCATGGTGTTTGCATCCAAGTAGCTCTTATTTTACTTAGCAATTGTGATATGCCAAAGAGAAGCCATAAAGGACTTTCTTTAGGTGAAAAGTGAGCACAGCATAAGATACTTTGGGAAAGAGACCACCTTCACATAACTTCTATCACAATATATTATTATAATTATTCCATTTCATTATTAGTTATTGTTGTTAATCTTTTACTGTGCCTAATTTATAAATTAAATTTTATCATAGGTGTATATGCCTAGGAAAGAAACACAGTACATACAAGTTTTATTACCACCCATAGTTTCATGCACCCACTAGGGGTCTTGAAGCATATCCCCCACAGATAAGTAGGGGCCACTCTACAGACTCAGGTGGGTGCAGAGAACCAAAGGATGAATGAGGCCATCTACTCAGGTGTGTGGGGGATGAAAATAGTAGAACTTCTGTTTATTTTATACCATTCTTTTTAAGTTGATTCTCCCCATATTATAGTGTGCACGGTATATTAGTGCAGTAGTACTTGTATATGACTTCTAAGTAAAGATATGAGGTATGTAGGGGGACATGCTTAGATTTTCATTGATGGAATCCTCAAAAAGCATAGAGTCCACAGGTCTGGGGGTCCCTGCTCAGAGCTGTATGAGCAGGTCTTTTCATCTCCAGCAACCTCTAGTCAGGGGAAATGCGGAGATCTCAGGACAATTCCTCTCCCTGGCAGAGTCTCCCACTAAATGTAAAACCAAGCTGCTTCCTTTCTGTGTGTTGTCTCAGGGCTCTTCAACCAGAACCCTGTAACTGGTCAGCCTAACTGCCATCTTAACCATCAGATCCTCTTCTGCTTCCCTTCATTTACCAAAACTTTTATTCCCCCAGAGTCCTAGTTAATCCACATGACTCCATTTTATTTGAAATCCAATTTACCATCCCCTTAAGAATTATCATTTAAAAAATTAGCCCTGGCTGGTGTGGCTCAGTGGATTGAGTGCCAGCCTGGGATCGAAAGGGTTGCTGGTTTGATTTCCAGTTGGGGCACATGCCTGGGTCCCCAGTAGGGAGCGTGGGAGAGGCAACCACACATTGATGTTTCTCTCCCTCTTTTCCTCCCTTCCCCCTCTCTAAAAAATA